CTAGCACTTAGTCCTCAGGATTTCTTAGCTAAATAAGAATACAAGCAGATGAAAAAAGGCTCCGCAAATGACAGGGGAGCAGCTCGGAGGTCCCCACCTGTCCTTCATTCTCGGGAATTCCAGGGGAGTATCAAGGACAGGACAGAGAAAAAGTTATGTATGGGAGGGGCTGGGAGGAGGGACAGCTGCTCACCTTCTGCATGCTGAGCGTTATCTGGCCGCCCTGGAAGCCCGAGGAGCTCCCAGATACATAGTACCCAGAGTTGAGCTGCAGAAAAGGGACAGCCGATGAACGTGAGGCACACGAACCCAGGCCCAGGGTCCCAGCGCCAGCCCCACCTGCCTCAGCATCCAGCCATACCTGCTCCAGGGCCTCTGCCAGGTGCTTATTGAGCTTTTGCTCTCGTTTGCGCAGCTTCTCAATGTCCCACTGCAAGTCTTCCACTGTTGTCTCCATCTCCAGCACCTTGGTTTCGGCGGATGTCACTTTATCCTGGAGCTCAGAGTACTGGGGACAATGGAAGGAAAGATCAGCTTTCTGAGACCCTTGGTGACCCAAGGATCAAACCCTGTCCTGGTTCTAATTCCACCCCCAAAAGCCCGACTCCCACCTCCAGTGAGATCCGGTGATGCTTCTCCTGCAGCTGTGTGGCCAAGTCCTGCAGTCGCCGGTTCTCCCGGCCCAGCTCTCGGGTACGGGCCCGAGCCACCTCGCTGGGAGGCTCTCCATCCCCTGGGAAGGGAAGGCCCCAATAAGAGGCAGACCCTGGGAGTAGGGCGACAGACCACCTCTCTGGAGTTTGCTGCGTGTGCAGTGTGCGATTGAGCTGTCTTGACAACGTGTCACAGCAAAATAAGAAGTTTTGTTTTTGTTTTTTTTGAGACAGAGTCTTGTGATTATATAGTCCAGGCTGGCCTTGAACTCCTATGTAGTCCAGACCAGCTTTGAACTTGTGGCAATCCTCCCGCATCAGCATCCTGAGTGCTGGGATTACAGGTGTGCTCCACCATGCCCAAGGAAAATAAGTTTTTATTTCTACTATATAAAGGAGGAAATAAGTTTATTTTGGGTTTTTTTCTATATTCTAGGGAAGGGTCTACAGGGTATTCAGGGTCTTTTTTTTTTTTTAAAGAACGTTTTTGGTTGTTTTTTCAGAACCGGGGATTGAACTCAGGCCCTCGCGTTTGCCAGGGAAGCGCTTATTCCACTGAGCCATCTCCCCGGCCGTATTCAGGGTCTTACTACTAAATTGGACTCATAGTGATTCTCCTGTTTACAGCCTCCCAATAGCTGGGATTAGAGGCATGCACCACCACACCCAGTCTCAATTGCTGTCTCAGCACACCCCAGGGCTGGGGCCAGCAAGGCAGGCCCTAGGGATCGAATGCCCGGCTCCTGGGCCTGCTTGAAGGTGCTTTAATCCGCTGAGCTATATGCCTTGCCACTGGGAAATCAGTTTAGAGACAATGAATTTCTGTCCCAAAAGGCCAGACTAGGGAGGCAGAACTACAGATGAGAGAACCTTGTCAGCATGCAAAGCCTTGTGGATCAACAACTGCTACTAAGGGAAAAAAAAATGCTACTAAAGTCTGCATAACCCTTGAGAGGCTGAGGCCAGAATTTGAGGCTAGCCTGGACTACACAGTGAGTTCAAGGACAGCCTGGACTACAGAGTGAGACCGGTCTTTAAAAAAAAGTTTGCAGAAGTGCTCCAGAGGCTGGGCATGGTAGTGCATACCTGTAAACCCAGCACTCAGGAGGATGAGGCAGGAGGACTGCAGCAAGTTCGAGGTCAGCCTGGGCTACAGAGAGTTCAGGGAGTCTGAGCTATACAGCAAGACCCTGTCTCAAAAAAAACAAAACAAAACAAACAAACAAACAAAAAAACAGTGCCTGCGTGGAAGTGCAAGGTCTTGAGTTCAATCCCCAGGACCCCACCACCAAAAATGCAAAGTGCTCTAGAGCTGTGTCCAGCCAAGTGAAGATGATGACTCTACCAGCATCAACTACTCTTCCACTCGGCTCTCTAGAGTTCTACCCAGGAATCCAAGCTGGACTTCTCCATCTATAGGTACCTATTCTCCCAAGAACAGGCTTATTTCTTGGGGAATATCCAGGCTCAGGGCATTAGCATGATGAGGCAGTGTTGAAGACACAGGGCCACACACATCAAGAGTAGAGGTACGAAGAACTGACCTCGGCTGTATACTCGCTGACAGAGTTCCTCTACCCGGCGCTGCAGGCAGTCTGAGGCCTCCACCAAGCGGGACACGGCTGCCTTGGAGAATTCCATCCGGCCCTGTAGCTGCAGCTCCACTTCTTCACTGCTGCTGGCACCCAGGGCCACCACAAAAGCCAAGGCGGGCTCACTGAGAGGGGGTCGCAGCTGCATGGGTATGGGTTCTGGGGGGAAGGGACAGATCTTTATGAAAGCAACAGCACGCCTGCCAATCTGAACTGAGTTCCAGAGGGAGCGCTTCAGTTCTCCGTGACTCTTACAACAATCTGTCACACACTAACATTCTCCTCTTGACAGGGAGACAACTGACGTTTAGAGAGGTAAAGTCATTTCCTCAAGGCGACCGAATCATTTCTTCAAGGAAGCTTCCTCGACCTTCCCAGTTCAACCACAACCCACAAAATATATGTACTCATTCATTTCCCGCCAGGGGCCCTAACACTTTTTACTTATGGTTTACGATAATTTCCTCCCTCCTGGCAAAAATATTCGTTTCTGCTTGCCTTTGATTTCTTCATGTCTAGAAAAATGTTAAGTTAATATTTAGAATTTTGTTTCTCTTTGGAGTTACTGGACATTGAACCCTGGGCTTCTGTACTGAGCTACACACTGGTCTTTTTTTGTTTTGTATTTTAAGTCAGAACCTTGCTAAGCTGCCAATGCTGGCCTTGAAACTGCCTGTCTTACCCTCCCACAGCGCTGGAATTACAAGCGTGCACCACCATGCTCAGCTAACAATACTTTTTAACTAAAAGGGTAGCAATAGGAGTACAATTGTGAATCAAATTAGATTCTAAGACCTTTTCTCTCCTACTACCTTTTCTGCCCACACATTCAATCAATTTTTCAGGAGTAGTGGGTGGGATAAGGATTTCAGGAGCACCAAATCAAAAGTCCCTTCTTCCCCAGGACCTTTCCTGGAACTCAAATTCCCCAGCCTCTGGCCCTACCCCTCAGCTCTGATGTCCCTGGTTCCATGAGAGGGATCGCATCACGAGGTGGCCCCTCCTGTGTCCCAGGTGCCTCTGTCCCTGCAGAGACGTCCCGCTGGCTCTCATGGCATCGGAGGAGGGCTTCCACAGTTTCATCCAGCTGAAGGGGAAAAGCACCAACAATATTATGAATTCCTCAGCGCTCTGCAGCATAATTCTCCTTCCCCAACAGGGCAATCTGAGAACTGGCAAGTGAATCAAGGTCAGGTCTCTGAAAGCAGAGGGCATCAACCTGGGCCCAGTAGCGATTGACAATGAGGAGAGTAGCGTCATCTGTGGCCTGCCGTTTCTCCAACTTTTCAATGCGTTCTCGGAGTTCATCTTCACAGGCTTGTCGCTGTTCCAATCGCTCTGCCAGTTTCTTGTTCTTGAACTGCAGTACCTTCAAGTCCATCTCCTCCTGCCAAGAAAAACAGAGGTCACGTATGTATGGGACCAGGGATTTAGCTCAGTAATATACTGCCTGCCTGGCAAGCCTGAGTCCTGAGTTTGGTGACTAGTTAGTACCCAGAGGAAAAAAAAGTATGTGTGTTAAGAAGGTCTTGGAGGGGGCTGGGGAGATGGCTCAGTGGAATAAGCACTTCCCTGGCAAGCACAAGGGCCTGAGTTCAATCCCCAGTTCCATAAAAAAAAAAAAAAAAAAAAAGTCTTAGAAATTACAATAGAGTAGAAAATAAACATGAAGAGGAGAAAAGTACTCCCAAACTACCTGCCAACACAATTTTATTCCTCGAATGCCTTCAGGGCACTTTTGGCCAGCGGGATAGTTGTGAGGTTCGAACTCCAGCAACCTGAGGCTGACAGCTTTGTGGAAGCAGCCACTTAAAGGCCTGAGCTAGGGCCAGGCCCCCCCAACACAATTTTAAAAAGGCTCAAACGCCACAGAAAAAGCATCTTGGTTATCAAAGGGCTCAATTTACTATAGCTTCTGTCTCGGCCCCTTTTATTTGGTTTGTTTTCTTTGAGACAAGTATTAATTTAGTTCAGCTGGCCGTGAGCTCACTACATACCTAGCCCAGGCTGGCCTCAAATTCGCAACGATCCTCCTGTAGGCATTCACCACCATACCTGGCTCCTGTCCCTAAGTCTGACATATCCCGCCTATCGGTATAGGGAAGGCAGACGTCCTGTTCTCGGTTCCTTCACTAGAACGTGGTGTAAAGTGCACTTTGCTAAGCCTGGAAACCGGCAGTAAGATTCTGGGCCATTTGGGCAGAGACCGGAGACAGGAGTCCAGCCAAGCTCTCAGGACTAGGGCAAAAAACCACGAACCGTGGAAGAAATGCCTCCAAGACGAATGGGCTCGATGAGAGTGGTTGTGGTCTTCTCCTCGCGGTTCAGCTTCTTCTCGGGGGGCCCGGAGCCCCCGTCGCCGGCGGCGCGTTTGTTGCCCGGCCCAGACATAGCTGCGGGCAGCGCGGAGCGGCGCAGGATCCCCCAAGGGGCTTCAGGGAGGGAAGCAGCACTTCCGGTATCTGCGGAAGACACAACAGCGACGTAAAAGCGGCCAGCGCGCCACAGCCGCGAGCCTCTCTCCGGCATCCACCCACTGGATCCCAACCTTACCAGCCCCGAGGCCCGCGCCGAGACTAGGGTCAACCCAGCGCCGCCATCTTGGATTCCACCGGACGTCACCGGCCTCCTCTGCACGGGGCGCAGGCGTCAGCGGCTGCGCCGGATGTGGCGGGACTTCTTGGTTTCCTGCACTTATTGGCGGCGCTTGGCCCCGCCTCTCTGATCGTTTGGCTACTTCCTGAACACCTCCTCTTGCACTCGGTGATTGGCCAGTAGATGGCTCCCGTGGTAACTAACAGCGGACTTGTACTTGGCCAGCGCCGAGACCAATGCCAGCCCGCCAACAGTAACTTGGAAGAGGGCACCTAGGTGAGGAGTTGCGATTCACTACGCAGGTGCATTCGCTCATCGCTGACTGAAATATGTACTTGAACTCTGCACCTTTCTCCTTTGCAAACGCCCTCTTAGCAACGGTCACCATGGAGACGGTGGGAGACGCCCCCCCATGGATTGGCTGAGCCCAGCCTCGCTGGGCGCCCATTGGCTGGAGGGTCGCTCCGGGGCCAGGTCTTGGGAATCGCTACCGGAGAAGTTATCCCAGAATCCAGGTGTGAGTGTTTGTGGTAAGAAAAAGAAGAGATGATCAGCCCAAAATCGAGCCAATCCCTGGGAGTCAAGGTACACTCCAAGCATGAACAGCTCTCTGAACCACAAGGGAAACTGGAGAAGTATCTTGGTTCATTGGTGGGATCGGCCATGCAGACGAGAATAGGTGTGCGGACCGACACAACGGCTTCGGCCCCGGGAGAAGCAGATGAAGATCCTGCAGTTAACTTGTTTCCGGTGAGAACTAGACAGCGCTGTCCCCTCTGGAATTTTGTAAGATTTTCCTGGCAGGGCACCACCCACCCTTCCTGACCTTTCCTTCCCGGGCTCCCTGGCCACAAGGCAGAGACAAGGCGTGTGTGGCCTTTAATGTTAATAAGTAGTACTTCGGCCTGCAGGGGCATTGCTCCATATAGTCCTAGAAACGACGCCAATTGTGGAGTGTTCTCAACGCCCAGGCCCCCGAGGAGATACACGACGGACCAAGGACTGGGGCCAGGCACAGCACGGCTCTTCCTTACCCACTCTGCTTTCTCTTCACAGCCGCCACTACCCCAGCCCCGGATCTGCATGTGGTGAGTGTGTAGCGCCTTAGGAAAGTCACACTTGCATTATTCCTTTAGTCTGTGCTCAACAGTCCTGTCCAATAGCCAGGGCATCCCCCCTTTCACAGATGTGACTGAGACTCAGAAATGGAGTTTATTCAAGGTGGCTAGAAACTAGCTTTCCAGGCTGCCGAGTCCAAAGAGACAGCAGGAAGAGCCAGGGACTGAAGATATGAACGAAAATGAAATGTCATGGCTGCTATGGAGCGCTGAACGAATACAGGCACTGAAGCCCATAGTGGGACTCTCGAAAACCATGCACCAAAGGATCAGCAGAGCAAAGACAAAAACTTGTTTTCCTAACTGTGGGCTTTATAAATGGGGTGTCATGAGTTTACGCTGCATACGTCACTTACAGATGGAAAAAGTGAGGTCCACAGAGCTAAGTGGCTTGCCAGAGGTTACACAGCAAGTTAGTGACAGCCAAGGCTCAAACCCAGTGCTCCTGATTCCTGGTCCAGGCAGCCATAAATACCCCGTCTCCCCTTCTCCTACAGGAAATACCTGGACATCCATACCATGCACCGGCTAGAGAAGACTACCAGCGTTGAGGAGATGAGGGAGTATGGGACTGATGGGGGAGGGGGACTCCTAGGGAGGGAAGGCGTGAGAAATGGCTGGCTCCAAACACGTGGTGAGTGTAAGGTGATGAAAGGAGGCTCTCACTCATCGCTGGCTCCTTCTGATCTCTCCCAAGGGTACTGGCTGAGCTGTTGGGAATTGGCTGGCCTGAGCAAAGCTTGCGGGATGCCATCATCCTGGACCTCTTCTCCCATGCCCTCATCTTCTGCCAACAGCAGGGCTTCTCCCTGGAACAGACATCCGCAGCTTGTGCCTTGCTCCAGGATCTTCACAAGGCCTGTATTGGTGAGAGCAGGGCAGCTACCAGGAAGGTGGAGCCCCAGGTATGGGGTCAGGCTAGACCAGTGACTGTGTAGCAGAAGCATGGGCAGCACCCCACCAAATCTTTTCTCTCATTACTAGATGTAGTGAGGGATAGTTGTCATCACTTTGGAAATCCTCTTCATCAATACATTAAGGACATGGCACTAATATTATGGGGTTGTTTGATGATAGTAGATGCAGTGTACGATAATGTAGCTTCTGCATTCCTTCTGCGTGTGTTTGTGTTTTTTTTAAATGTATTTTAGGATAGGGTCTACAGGGTCTTACTACATAGATCGGACTCATAGTGATCCTCCTGTTTTCAGCCTCCTAAGTACGGGGATTTACATGTACCACGGTGCTGTCTCAATGGCTGTCTCAGTGCTCCCCAGGGGTAGGGCTGGCTTGGCACACTGGGGATTGAACCCCAGCTGCTGCACTGTGCCTAAGCAGGCGCTTTAGTCCACTGAGCTATCTGGCCGGCCCTTGCCTGTTTTTTTTTTTGGGGGGGAGGGGAGTGGGGGAACCAGGGATTGAACTCAGGCCCTTGCACTTGCCAGGGAAGCGCTTATTCCACTGAGCCATCTCCCTGGCCCCTGAGTGTGTTTTTTTTTTTTTTTTCCCAAACTGATTTTCTTCAGAATGTTTAAGAGCTGAAATTACGCATTTCTTCTATTATATCCTCTTCTAGCATATAAGCTCCCTCAGGACAGGATCGTATCTGTCTTCTTTAGTGCCTAGAATGGTATGTAGTTGAAGAGTTCAGTTAAGTGAATTAAACAGGCAATTGAGGATTAAAGATTAAACACAGATCTGCCCACTTCTGTCTCACAGGCCCTAGGAGTGAGGTGAAGGGATAGGTAGCAGGGAGGGACTCACTCCTGCTCCTCTCTCTCTACCAGCAACCCCCCTGGGCAATGTGGAAGAATGCTACCGCCACTTTATCACTGCTCTTTTTTGCCACGGAGTCAGGGTCAGTACCCTGGAGTGGGTTTCTCACCCTCCTCTAGACAAGGTCTAACCCTGCTTCCTGCCCATCAACCTCACTTTCCTCTGAAAGCTGCAGCGGGCTCTCCCCACTCCTAGACAGCTGGGCTCTTACAGGACGGGCCAGGGCTGCTGGAAGCCATCAGCGCTGACTCACAGTCCTTACAGCGTCCCCCCTTCAGCATTGACCTCTTTAAGGAAGAACAGCTGCTGGCCCTGGCTGACTATGTAGTCAACACCTACTTCCGACACTTCAAACTCTACAAATATGTGTTCACACCGCAGGTACTGTGCCGTGGGATACAAAAGGTCACACCTCGGTGCAGGCGCCTTCCTCTCAGCCTCCCTCTTCTTCTCTACCCAGGTGCAGCTGGATCTGTCTTTGACTTACATAGGGCTACAGCCACCCATGCCCTGGCCAGAGGGTAGGACGGGTAGGGGAGAGCAGGGAGCTAGGGCTGGATCAGGGCTGGGGCTTAGGCCTCTTCTCGTTTCTGGCTTGTAGAGAAAGAAGGCCAGGAAGCAGAGGAGCAGACAGCCACCCAACTAGAGGAAGAACCAGAAGCAGTGGTGCAGCCAGAGCAAAAGCCAAGTGAGCACCTGGAGGGGTTCAGGTGCTCCGGGGCTCCGAGCAGCTATAAATGGAGGTTTGGAGCGTGTCAGGACTTCAGACTTTTTACCTTTTTGATGCAGGGTTTCACTGTGCAGTTCAGGCTAGCCTTGAACTCACTTTGTAGCCCCGGATGGCCTCAGACTTGGTGATCCTCTTGCCTCAGCATCCTAAAGACTTTTAGTTTGTGTCTTCTTCCCAAATGATTCCTTATGCAGAATTCCAAGATGACAGATAGGAGCACACCAGTTGGGTATGGTGGTGTGATTCTCCGTTCTTGGGTGGTTGAGGCAAGACTGTCACAAGGTCAAGACCAGCCTGAGCTACACAGTTGAGTTCAAGACCACCCTGAAGTCTATAGCAAGACCCTGTCTCAAAAACAAAACCAAGAAGAGCAGATCTACTGGGGGCTGGGTGGGGGCAGAAGAGGTAGTTCCAACGTGCTTGGACAGTGAATGACAACAGCCAGCACAGATTTAGCCATATGTACAGGATGCTCTGTCTGAAGCATTTCATGCATATTAATTGAACCCTCCCTTAATCCTATGTACTAGATATTATTTACCCACTTCATACAAAGAAACTGAGGCATGGAAAAGTTAAACATCCTGTCACACAGTCACCAAGCTGGAGTCTGAAATGAACCCAGGAGAAGTGTCAGTGCTCTGGGCCCAGCTGTGTCTCTCGGGCAGGCCGACTCCTAAGCTAAAGCAGTACTGCCCTGTGTAGCCTCCAGGGCGCGTATCCTGGACACAGTCCACCATTTCGGGACAGCACCCGGATGGCATTTCTCCTGACCTGCCCCTTCCCTGCCTCTGCAGGCCACACCTGTGTCCTCCGAACCTACATCAAGACCCAAGTGAATAAGGAGCTCGGGCAGCTCCAGCAGTTGGTGGAAGATCAGCTCAAGGCCAGTGAGGAAAGGCTCAGCAACAAGTTGAGTGCACTAGAGCGGCCTGCCCAGGGGCCTCCTGGCAAAGGCAAGAACAAGACAAAGTGATGCCCAGCAATTGCCCCAATAAAGGCAGAGCTGGCATGTGCCACTCCCACCCACACCCTCAGTATCATTTGGGCCAAAGGTAATCGGCAGACACAGGTACTTACTACCCCTGGTGTGGAACAGATTTTATTTTGGGTACAGCAGAGGGAGCACACGAGGCTGGGTACGGCATCTGGAGCAGCTCTCTTCCACCCCACCTCTCATCTCTAAGCTTTGGTGAGCAAGGGGAGGCGTACAGAGTTGGTCTCTAGGATAGCAGCATGACCAGGAGGGCCAGGCAGAGGGCCTAAGGTGAAGGCCCAGCGGAGCTGGAATGGTCCAAACCTCTGGAGAAGTCCTGTTTTCTGAACTGCCTCAGGGCTGAGGGTCTACCCCAGCACCCGCGCAGCCTCATCCTCAGCAATACTAGCAGAGTCCCCGTCCTCTTCAGTGCCGGTGAGAGGAAAAGGTCCAGGGGGCCGGTGCTGGAAGAGGGCTGCTCGGTTCTGCTGCTCGCCCTTCTTCACCCAGTGCCCATAGAGCCGGAAGGCACAGTTGTCTATGAGGCGCCGCACGGGCCGCAGCGCGTAGGGGTCCCTGAGCAGCGCACTCTTGGTCAGTGGCCGCACACGGTGGGTACTCAGGGCCACCCGGCCAGCAGCCAGCACTGTCCACACTGCCACCTGGGAAGGGAGGGCAGTAAGAATCCAGCAGAGCACCCAGCATGGGGGAAAGGGCTTAGGACAGGCACAGGAGCAGAGCCTGCCACACTCGCAGGCTTACCCGGAACCGCTGTTGGGGTGTCAGATTCCAGAGGTGGCTACCTTCACAGCGCTCAAAGAAGGGATGTTGCAGGGCCTGCTCTGCTGTCAGGCGTTCTTCAGGATCCACCTGCAGCAGCCTTGAGATCTAGGGAAACCCCAGAGTATGAGGGGCAAGCCTCGGGCCTTCCCCACTGTCCTCTGATGGCCCCGGCTCACCAGGTCTTTGACAGTGTCGGAACGGTCATCCCACTCAGGTGAACTGAACTGGTACCGGCCCTCCATGATCATGCGTAACATCAGGATCTGGCGTCGGTGCCAGAATGGGGGTGAGCCAGCCAAGAGTGTGAATAGGATCACCCCACAGGCCCAGCTGGGAAAGAGAACAGAGTCAGACAGCCTGACTAATAGGCAGATGTGAAGGGCTGTGCGCACAGAAGGGCCTGGGAGAACCCACACTCACAGGTCAACCTCCTTTCCATAGCCTGGGTGGGTTTCATCCATGGAACACTTCAGGATCTCTGGTGCCAGATACCCTGGAGTTCCACACAACTCTGGGAAGAGAGGCAGCAACTGAGGGAATGCCATTAGCCCCTTTGGGGCCCTGAAAAGCAGATCTCTGGGGGGCTGCCTGAGCCATCAGTGTTCCTATTTTGTTTGTGCCTGTTTTTTGGTTTTTTTTTTTTTTTTGCAGAACCAGGGATTGAACTCGGGCCCCTGAGCTTGCCAAGGAAGTGCTTATTCTACTGAGCCATCTCCCTGGTCCCTGTGCCTGCTTTTTGCTTAGCCTCAGAACTAGTGTCTCTGCTAAAAATTCAAATGGCCACCACAGCTTCCTGTAGCCTGCTAAGAAAGTCTGGCTTGGGTGTTGACTTTAAGGTCTTCCCAACTGTATCTTTTGCCTCCTCCAACTCTCCAGCCAAAGCACCCACCCATCCACTTTTAACTTATCACATTTTTAAATACATCATACAGGGGGCCAGGAAGATAGCTCAGTAGAATAAGCGCTTGTAAATGGAAAAATTAAGTGTTTGTATTCTTGGGTTTTTGAGGGGGATATTTATAGTTGAACTCAGGGCCTCAAGCTTGCCAGGCAGGCACTGTGCCACCGAGCTACAGCGAGCTCTGTATTCTTTTCTGCCAGGACCTAATTTCCATTCTGGTTAGTAGAACCACACTACTTAACCCAAGGGGAACAAGTGGAAATACAGCTTTCTTAAAAGCACACACTGGTAAATCCTTTGTGCAAAACACTTTCCAGTTTTCCTATCATGGCATCAAGATCAAGTCTGGAACTCTAAGGCCCAGAGCCTTCCATGACTGGACTTCATCCAGCCAACACTTCTAATTTATTCTACCACTTCAGCCACCAGTTTTTTGATTCTAGCAATTTCCAGATGGCACACTTTCAGATTATAATATGGCTAAATTGAAAGTTACTTTTTTTAGGAAATTCATTCATATACAAAATGGAATGCTTTGTATGTAGCAAGCACCCTATTAGACACAGAATTAGATATGCCCTTACTAGACACACTGTGTTCTGGAAAACAAAAAATGGAGTAAGAAGTGTGTCATAAAAGGAGAAGATACAAAAATGGGACTTGTCCTGATCTGGAGGCTTATAGTGAAGCTGCAGTTACTCAACATGAGGGAGAGGTAAAACAGGCAGGACCAAAGACAATTTCAGAAACAAGAAAAATGTATGTAGGAAGCTAGGTGCAGTGGCACAGGCCTATTAACCTCAGGTACTCAAAAGAGGAAGGCAGGAGACTCACAAGTTCAAGGCCAATCTGGGGAACTTAGCAGACATTATTCAAACTTTAAAAAGGAACTAAAAAAATAAAAATGTATTGGGGGCTGGGGACATAGCTCTGTGGACACTCTGCCTGCCTGGCAAGTGTGAGGTCCTGAATTCAAATTCCAGTACCAAAAAAAGAAAAACCAAACCTTAAACAGGTATGGAGATACAGTTTGGTAACAGATACAGTTTGAGTCTTTGGGTTCCATCATCAGTAGCTCCCCCCTTCCCCCCCCCAAAAAAAAGTGTTTTTGCTTAAAGGGGACTAAAACTAAAGCACAGCACTCATAGAAGTCCACAAGTTACACAGTAAGCTCAAGTCAGACTGCCCAAGTTCAAATCCTGGCCAAATTATCTCTTTAAGCCCATCTATTTTAAAAAAAAAAAAAAAAGAAATACAATCCATCCAAGGGTTGAAATGATTCAGAGAAATCAGCCATGTAAAGGCTTTATGTACCTGCCTCATGGTTCAATCTCCCGTAAGTTACCTATTAACAAATCCAGGGCAAGCTGGGTGTGCTGGTACACACCTGCTATCCCAGAACTCTGGGAGACTGAGGCAGGAGGATTGCAAGTTCAAGCCCTGCCTGAGGAACTTAGGGAAACCCTATCTCAAAAAATAAAATGAGATGTACCTTGGTGCAAAGGCCCTGGGGGTCAATCTCCAGTACTGCAAAATAACAAGAACAACACTAGTAAAAAAATAAACCCAATGCAAAGCCATTGAGGCACAGTTATAGCAGTTCAAAATTTCTGAGAGGGCTGGGGATGTAGTTCATTGGTAAAGCACTTGCCCAGCACATGCAAGGCCCTGGGTTTAATTCCCAGTACTGCAAAAGACAAAAAAAGAAAGAAAAACAAAAGAAAAGCCAGTGATCCTCAGTTGAATTTAATGTCTCTCCTTTGCACTAGAAATACTTGTTGCGAGCTGTTGGGATGCACACCTGTAATCCCCGCACTCAGAAGGCTGGGGTAGGAGGACCAGTGCCCCAACTGGAGGCCAGTCTGGGGTCTTCAGTGAGATCAAAGTCAGCCTGAACTACATAACAAGACCAAGAACACAACAAAAACTTGTCATGACAAATGATTAATACTTGGGTGAGCCCAAGTCAAGAAGTTACGTCAAGGAGTCTGGACACACCAGGCTTCTTCCAGCACACTGTGGTCTATTTCATCCAGACCCCTGAACACACTGGTGAACCCTCACTCCTTTCCTTCTGAGACAAAGCCCAGACACAAGGCCCCTCAGACTAGATCTGGGCTGCTTTCTCCTGGTTTCCACAGTGTGGCCCTTTGCCAGCTCAGTCTTTCTGCTTTCTCATGTCTCCACTGCCCAGCTCAGGAAGACCATTCTGAGTTGCATAAAAGACTTGGCATCTGAGGGTACTTGGCAAGTGGCCACTGACTTCCCTTCCTGGATACCAAGAACCAGCATGGACACCCGGCCAACCAACTTCTGGCCTGGATCTCCTTCCCTCCCAAGCCTTTTAGGTAATTGGGCTCCCTCACCTCGAAGCTTCTCTCCAGGTTCCAAGTGGCAGGAGAACCCAAAATCTGAGAGTCGGATCTGCATATTGTCATCTAGGAGAATATTCTCAGGCTTCAGGTCTCGGTGTACAATGTTGTTGGCATGAAGAAAGCTCACTGCTTCCAGCAGAGACCTCATGATGGACCTAGGGGAGGTGCAGTCTCCTGCTCTGCTTTTTTTTTTTTTTTTTTGGCGGGACTGGGGATTGAACTCAGGCTCTTGCACCTGCCAGGCAAGCGCTTATTCTACTGAGCCATATCACCAGCCCTCCTGCTCTGCTGCTTTCTGCCCTCCCACTCCCTGTTCACCCCAGGGGCTGCAGGCTCTGCGGTTACCTGGTTTCCTTCTCTGAGAGGGCCACCTTCTCTGTGAGATAGTCAAACAGCTCTCCCTTCCGCATCCTACGGGACAGCAGGGGCATAGGAAGTACATGCACCCCACTGGGGGCTGAGAAAATGAGCTAGGGCTCACATAAAATATCACAGAAGAGGCCAGCCGTGAGAGTCCTCTAGGGACAAGCCAAAGGGTCAGGCCACAGAGCACTCCAAGAGTCTGTTAGGTGCCAGGGCAGGTTGTCTCCAGGAGCTGGTGCTTGACATGTTTTCATCGTGCCACAATGGGGCTCTTTTACTGACAGGGAATGGCTGCTTGTCACATCATTTACAAGTGGTCCTTGTGATCTGAGAATTACTACGCCTAACAAACTCCTCTTTGCTTAATGAGAAGCTTGTGAAATTAGACATTATTAAGTGATTAATGAACTTAGAGATATGTTACTTTATACTGTTTTTTTCCCCTTTCGGCACCAGGGATTGAACTCAGGACCTTGCGCTTGCCAGGCAAGCACTTTTTGCACTGAGCTATCTCCCTCACCCTAACTCCTCTTAAAGTGAAGCTATTTAGAACTTGGGCCAAATTCCAGTTAACTGGCGGAAAGGTTGAAGCAGATTTATTTTGAAATCTTGCTTGC